GCGAAGATTTCTGCTTGGAATACAGTAGGGAACTCCCCCAGACTGTAGCTTGCACTCCATCTGGGTCTGAGTCCATATATTCCTGCACCCGTCCCTCTGGTCATTTTGGAGCCATCTGTAAACCATACTAGGCTCCACCTTTCCAGGGTATTAAACCTTTCCTCCCACTTGCTTTGATCCTCTATTCGAGTCTCAAATGGCTTGTGGAAGTGAAACCTTGGGACCATCTTGTCGGATACCATCCCAAGAGTTGGTTCCGACATAGATGTGTCTATGATCCTGGAGTGGGAATCACCCCTCCAGTCATTGTTATTCCTGAGTCGATATGCTGCTAGCCGCGCTTCTCTTTCCACCACTATATGCAGCGGTGGCAGATTTAGCATGACTTCTAGTGCAGCTGTCGGGGTCGATGCCATCGCCCCCGTTATACCTAAACAGGCCAATCTCTGAATTCTATTCAGTTTTTCCCTCGCTGTGGTCTGTTGTGTTTTCTGCCACCATACCACAGCGCCGTAAAGAATCCTGGGTCTTATATTTTGCATAGTTTATACCACAATATATTTTTGAACGCGTACACATCTCTACCAAAATTTGACCTATTCTTCGGGTTAAAGACACACATTGTGACACTAGTTATAAACAAAAATATTACACAATGAATTTCACAATCGGCATAATGACAGTAACCAAGATTCACTAAAATTATGTAAAAAGTATACATTTTTATATTATGAGCAAGATTGACAATATTTTTGATAAAATAAAACTACAAAATACAGCAAACCACCATGATAGGTTGAACACCAGTTAGAGCGAATTACGTCACATCTATGTAAATGTCATTTTGTGTCATTTGTACTTCGACAATATCCACAGTATTTATCTTCGTTTAAATATTGTGTGTTTCCCAACTATCAGTTGCTTAGTTTTGTGTTACCAAAACCATAATCAGGAAACGTTATGTACTTGAAAAGATTCTAAAAGAAGGGAAAAAATAAAGCTCAACAACTGTGAGTTAATAAAATATCAAAAAGACTATGTTTGTGATCAAAAGTTTATCCATGCATAAATTTTGGTACTGAAATACAAACAACAGTCCTGCGACACATTTTTGAAAAAGCTCTTATTGACTGATGATGACATGAAAGTTGAAGAAGAGACGAGACCAACATCAAAGCTGTTTTTGGCATGTGTTAAGATATGGCAGAGTGACGGTCTCACGAGTATTTCAATTTAGTCAGTGAAAAACCAATGATGCAACTCTGATCACGTTAATAATGGGAGGAAAAATCTCAGACGCAAAGACCATGAAACGCGATAGAATGTTGGAGGATGAAGTGAGGAAAGCTGTAAGTACCAGTTTGGGGAAAAAAATGAAAAAATGTGGTATAGTGCTTTACAAAAACTATCCCACGATAGCAGGATCGCCTGATGGAATCTGTGAAGACAGTATTATTGAAATTAAATGTACCACGAATATGAAGACTTAAAAATTATGCGGAAAAAGGAAAACCGACCCAGAAATTTTATGTGTAGATAGCAGCTACAAATGTATCTAACAGGGCTTCAAAAAGGCTATTTCTGTAGCTGATTGCAACTACAGTACAAATAAAAAAGTAGAAATAATTAATGTTACATTTGATGACAACTATGTATCAGATTTTCTTAATGTTTAGTTTAATGTGTATCCATTATTAAACGAAAGTACAATTTAAGGGTAAATAAAAAGCATATACTATTATGGTAACTTTGTATTTTTATTTAACTAATGAATCTTGCAACACACAATATTAACACCTTACTGTTGACAAACGTAGATGTAACGTTACGTAAACACAATGACACCGGCGACCGTTTTTGCATGAGTTTAAGCTTAAAATTAAATGTCAATATTTTTCTACTAAACCTTTTATTTTCTACAGAAATAATATATTTTTTGGACATAATAAATACTTCCGAACATCATAGAAGTTTTTCAAAATTTGTCATAATTCTGACCTCGAATTCGTAATCAGCGACCCCGAAAACCTCCGTATACCAAATTTGGCGCGAATGTGTTATTTTTTTTAAATTTGGTCGACCACCTTCGATCCGCCAACTTGAATTTTGCAAAATTGACCTCGGATCCGTGATCAGCAATCCCGAAAACCCCCTGACGACTGGTTCGTGATATTACGTTACAAGATTTTCCGAGCATCCGGGTATTTGGCCGGACCGCCGTCTTAGCGGGAGTTATGGGTTGATTTCCTTCATTTTTAAGTTGATTAAAAATGTTTTTTTTTCGATTTTCTGTCTTTATTTGGCCTTCCGAATATGTGGTTAAAATGACATTATGACTGAATCACCCTGTATATTGAATTATTGATGTAATTTCACATTTACTATTCTGACAGGTTACTAGACGTGTTTATGAAGCAAGTAGTAATAATCAAACAAACAAATTTACAATAATCATAACCAAATGTGAAACTATTTTACAATACATAGAATTTTATGGCTAACCGAAATATGTAAAAATATATAGTATGTGCCATTTATAAAACTAGAGCATCAAGGCTCTAGTTCTACATTTGAAAATAATTTAAGAGAGACACCACTGTATAATTTTTAGTAAATCATTTTTTTTACTGATTTTAAAGTTGCTTTGAACCTTCTAGAATAAGGAAAAAAAAGTTTTGTGTACAATTTTTTTTTTTATTCTGAACTGCTCTGAAACGACAATGTGGGGCACATATATACTTGTTGGAAGGGCCTAATGACTTACCTTTTGATTTTTTAGAATAAAAGTGAGTTAGTATATCTCAAAACTTTAATGGTATTTTTCTTCAAGTACGATTTTTTTTAAATAAAACGCAGCATAACTAACAATTTTCATTCTATTCACTCCAGATTTTGAATGTATCTTTAAAATAACTTTTTGAAGAGAAGTACGTATCGGATTTTCAATTTTTAACATTATTTATCGACGAATGAATGTCCCCTTTTTTTTCTAAAAAATTCAGATGCCCGCCAATGACACAGAAATTAATTGATTATACTAGGGAAAAAATTGTTTGAATGTACTAAAAGAGTTTTGCGGCGAGTTTGTTGTCCTTACCTTTGAGAGTTTCACTATGTCGGCTCACTCGCTTGCAGCAGGAACTAGCATCCTTTGCATTAATTTTGTCTATCACTATCATATGTACCATATACACAATTAGTCCAAATTTGAGATCTCGGTTACGTGTTGCCTTGGTCAAAGCTTTTCACATACACACACTTTTTGAATGTTGAATGTCGACTTATATCTGCAGACTCTTCTCCCCTCTCATCGAGTCTATTTCCCCACCCTCGGTTCAAGGACAAGGACAACATGAAATTAAATCGCGGAACGCGCGGTGATTTAAATCAAAAAGAAATTAAGAGAGAAACACAAACATTAATGTTTTCAAAATTTACGTATTTCTCTAATCGTACTTATGTAGATTAAGAGGAAATTTTTTGTTTTTTTTCCCATTTTCAAATATGCACAATTTATACTGTGTGTGGCAGAGTGCCTCAAATTCAATATGCTCCGCAAGAATGGCTATTTATTAATAAATCTATAATTTTTTTAAACACTTAACACGTTCACTGCGTTTGACGCTCAATCTGAGCTATGCTAGCATGCCTTAGACGCGCCAGCCGTTTTCTATTCAATGTCCGATAGTTTGTTCGGTATTGCTGTGAGGTACGAGTGCGTAAAGAGGCACTCGGGTAATGTTATGGTAACGTAATAAACTGTAATTTTACAGGCCCGTTTTTTTTTTTCTTTTAGCAAATCGATTGTTTTTTTTATACGATGTTTAATGAAGAATGTACGTTTTCTACACAATTTATGTTTATCGAGAGTTATGTCTGTTTATTTAATTTTGACTTTTATTGTTCATTTAGTTTTCATATTTTCTGAATTTTGTTTACACATTTTGTTTATTTTGTGGATTATCAAATTTCTGTTACACACTTACCATCATGCGTATAAAATATAAAATGAATTTTATAACGGTTCAATATTATTTATCACGGACTTGATTTTCCCGTCCTGAGAAATGCCATAGCATAAGCGTAGACGAGGGGTCTAATTCCATTGCTATAATAAAATTATAAATTAAAAAAATACAACTGGGACGTTTTAAAATGCTGTAATAATTAAAATGGATCAAAGTGCCGGTTATAGCAAACCGTAAAAAATATTAGATGTTATGTTTTATTATCTTTTTTTAATATTTTCTATATCTTGTTGCCTTTTACGCAGACACGCCAATGGATTTTCCTTCCCGGCACGCTTCATCCCCCTTACTAGTCCAAAAGCTAGCGATGAGTCACTTTATAATTTCTGCCGCGGAGTATAGAGTGCCATGGATATTCCAGCATGTCAAAAAAAATACCAGGAAACGGCATAATACATTTATTACATCTGCAGATTTATATAAAGAAGTTTTTAAGGCAAAATTTTTAATTTTGCATAAACATATGTGGCACCGGGCACGGACTTAGATACCATAGTCGGCAGTGAACGTGTTAAGGACATGGTTAATAACATCCATGAATATTATCCTTTTACTTTCCTTTCCATTAAAAAATCTCAAATAAACACTTTTTTAAAATTTTACAGTAGTACTGTCCATTAAAACAATCATTTTTTGTTTCAAATATGGGGTAGCATCAGAACAAACATTTCTTTTTTTTTAGCACGTGGATGACGATCAACAAGAGCTGGTGCAAATTCAGAGTTATTTAAAGAATCCGGAAGTGATCGAACACTTCCCCTGTCAAGAGGTAAAATTGAACGGGTTCATGTACAAGAGCCACCTGATCGTAACTCAAACAGAACTGATTGTCCTCCGGGAAGTACCAGACATAAAAGGAGCCGCAGAAGTGATAGTAAAACGGCCTCTTTCCGCTATCGTCAAGATCACCGCTCGAAAACGCCACCCCGAACTCATTACCTTCAAGTACGGAGTGCCCGACGGCGAAAACCTCAAAATTTCCGATATGGATAGGTTTTTAATTCCGAACGCAGATAAGGCTACTAAGGTCGTCTCAGATCAGATCCTTAAACAGTTGAAAGCTAAAGAGTGATGTCGTAGATAGTTTATTTATATTAGAACCTAAATGTATTATTCTATTGTGCATAAATACTTAAGTAGTTATTAAATTATAGATATTTTAAAATTTGTTGAATTTATATTTTTTATTTAACCTTAAATAAATATGTTTTAAATCAACTCGGATGTAATGTGTTACTATTTATTTATGAAAAATGTAATTCCAAATACACTAATGTAACAAAGCTAAATAGGATTAAAGCTAACATGATTAGCGGTTAAACGAGAAAATAAGTTAAATGCTGTCTAGACCTCCCAAGTTTATGTGAAAGTGTTTACCTAAAAGACGAATCAATAAATGTTTTGAAAAACTGGTTTGCTTGTGGAATACTTACGATATCATCAATTTTCAGTATAGATCTGACGGTTTCTGTAGCAAAACTCAGAGCGGACGTGCTGACCAGCAGTGGCTGAACGACGTTTTCCTCCAGAATGTCTGTAATGGCGCCTTTTCTAACATTTATACCAGCCGAGGTTTCGCCTTTGGCATGCCTATTTCTTAATTCGGTTACAGTCTGAAATAAATTTCTTTCTATATGCTACGATTTCAATTGAAAACTGAATTTTAAAGCACAGGACCATCTGCACTTCTGAAATTTCTTCTGATATTATTTGTTCATATGGTAACCAGTAAAGTGTAATAGCTATTAAAATAAATATATGTAATTATCTAGTAATTTAGCATGACTTTCTAGGGACTGTAGGGAAGGATAACGAAATAATTCGTGAAAATCCCCAAATAGTCAAACCGATATTTGTCGAAAGCATCGAAACAAACTCTAAAACCAAAGATTTACACATATAAAGTCAATGTATTATTTTAAATATCCTTTTTACGAATGTTTGAAAATAGAAAATAGTGGACAATATGATAAAGAAAGAGATTAGCGAATTAACACTAACAAGGAGAAGGTAAGGTAGTCGGATTTTTGTAATTTTTGATATTTATGGTACGTGTAGTTTGGACCTTGAATAAGAATTTTCCGAAGTAGTTCGACGCAATATTCATAAATTACCGAGATAATCGAAGTTTACCTGACAGCTAAATCCACTAGATGTGACATATTCTTCAACTGGGAGTGTGGCCTAATTGGTAGCGTTCGGGACTGACAGTCACGAGATCGCTAGTTCGAGTCCGTCGCGTGACATTTTGTTTTTTTTTTCAAAACACTATATGGTTTTTTTATTATTTTTTTCATCTCGAAAATTATGAACAAACGAAATATTATAGTAAACACTTACGTATATGTAGAAATATTCTTCAAATATTTCATTAAAATGCACAATTGGTTGATAAACAATATTTATTATGAATTAACAATAAGATTTCATTAAAAAAAAAGAACAAACAAGGTCAGGTAGGATGTTCTTCTATTTTATATTTATGTTAGTATTTGACATTTTACGCAGTGTGGCACGAGCCAGAATGGTAGCTATCATAAGAAAATAGGAAGCAGAAATTTTTTAAGCATCTAGCTTCCTTTCTTTTTCATTTTCTGATCTCGAAAATTATGAACAGCCGAAATATTATGAGAACTGTATGTAGGAATATTCTTCAAGTGTTTAATTAACATTTTGAGCTAGGTTGTGTGGGTCGTCCACCGTGTTTAAAAAAACCGCTTACAGAACACACCTGCTCGGGCATAAAAAGTTTCGGTAAATTCCACAAAGGGTAGAGAAGCATCGAAACTGTGTGATGAAAGAACAATCTTTCAAAATGTTAACGAAATTTGCTTTGACGTCAATATTTTGAAAACAAAATGTGCCTGTAAAAACATCATAATATTTACACGACATGCTAGTTGCTGAAAAAATTTCTGCTTCCCATGTTTCTATGATAACTATCATTCTGGCTTATGCCACACTGCGTAAAATGTCAAATATTAAAAATAAAAAACCTACCTGACCTCGTTTGTTTATTTTTAAAAAAATTTTATTGTTAATTCATAATAAATATTGTTTATCAACCAATTGTGCATTTTAATGAAATATTTCAAGAATATTCCTACATATACATAAGTATTTATTATATTTCGTTTGTTCAGAATTTTCGAGATGAAAAAAAATAAACCAAAAAAAATGTCACGCAACGGACTCGAACCAGCGATCTTGTGACTGTCAGTCCCGAATGCTACCAATTAGGCCACGCTCCCAGTTGAAGAATGTGTCACATCTAGTGGATTTAGCTGTCAGGCAAAACTTCAAAATCGATTATCTCGGTAATTTATGAACGTTGCGTCGAACTACTTCGGAAAATTCTTATTCAAGGTCCAAACTACACGTACCATAAATATCAAAAATTACAAAAATCCGACTACCTTACCTTCTCCTTGTAAGATATCAAAAATGACAATTTATAGCATAATTAAAGAAAGAGACGTTATCAATCACAGTACAAAGAGGAAACGGAAAAATACAAAATTAAAGAATATTGACGATTTTACCAGACATGTAATACGGCGCACAATTTATAATATGTATAAAGAAAATAAAGTTCCTATTTTAAACAAATTCAGCAATTATCCTGATTATAATTATAAATCTTTAGATATTTTACGACGTTTTATTACAATGCGACTTTAAACATAAAAAACACATAAACACACTTCGGGAAGATTATTTACAAAAAATTTGAGAATATCACTAACTAAATAGAAATATAGTATATCTAGTCGAGAGACAGGGCAAAATGTTACTGGACGCCTATGGATTCCGTAGAATTTATGAGTTGTGTTTTTATGCGGTTCCAATTGAAATCGTAACAACTAAATATACAAAGTATTGATAAAAAAATCAAATTGGATAGTTATATTTTAAGTACTATTGAAATATAGGGAAAATGTGCTTAACATTATTTTTTACAACGAAAGTTCGTTCTGCTTTTGTCCAAAATAAACTTTTTAATTACTTTTTTAATAAAGTTTGGTATTTCTCACACCACTGATTTTTCAATACTATGGATAGCATTGCAAGTGCTGTTAGTCTGTTTTTCCAATCCAATTTAAACTTTTAAAATCTTTTAAAAAATGCACAAGAAACATAGGAACATAGGTAACTTACACCACATGTAAACAAATTACATTTAATAAGAAAAAAAGGGGTGAATAGGTATTTGAAAAAGGGCGGACTAAACAGAGCCTAAACTGCACAGTAAATATGCACTAGTCCCACTCCGTCTTTCACTGCTGTGCGATGATAACCATGACCACCGCTGTAAACACTACAGATTTAGGGGCGAGCTACGAGGATCCCATGATAGAGATGTGCAGTACGGTACGGTTTTTCTAAGCACTAGTTTTTTTTTTCATTCCAATATGCGAGATTTTGTACCGGTATTGCAGATATAATACGATCCAGTACCTACTTTCCTGGCAATACCTATCGGCAGTGAAGTGAACCTTAATGCTCGAGCTAGAGTTCACCCATCACTGGCAACTTTCAACACGACAAAAAAAGTAACGTACTGTCAGTAGATTTAAAACCATTAGTGTAACTCAATGGTACAATCTAGCGGTAAATAGCTAAGTATGTGTGACTAGCAATTGCAGTTCAGTCCGTTGCATGAAATTATGGCTGTTGCTGTCTGAATAATAGAGGCGTACTACTATTTTTTTATTGCAAAAAAAAAGAAACTAAAACACAGAATTTCCTCGACAGCATTCCGATCAGCAATTTGTTGCAATTTAATTTACCCTTTTTACGCCATGCCATGTTTTTGTGTTTCCATACAACATGCCTCCTTTAAAAAATAGTATTTGACATTTTGTTTAAACTCGAGTAGCAAGAATAATTTTTCCACATTAACTACTGGAAAAATTGAAGCCTCTTGTATCAGTGATGTAAAAAAAAAATTACAGATATTTTGAATGTTTTATGACATACCTGTATGGGATTGAGGCCCGCATTTTCTGCCAACGTGAATGGTATGATTTCTAAAGCATCAGCATAAGCCCTTGTACAAATTGCATCGATACCCTCCAAGTTATTAGCACGAGCGGCTAGTTTCAGCGCAACCTCAATTTCCGGTGCTCCGCCCCCAGCGATGAGAGCTTTTTTACGAACAAGACAACGTATCACGCAAAGAGCGTCATGCAGGGAACGCTCCGCCTCTTCAAGAACCAACTTATTGGAACCCCTGACGAGCAGGGTGATGGTCCTTCCGGCATTTTGAGCACCTAAATCGAACGGAACATATGGGAGTTAAGCCTTCGGCTAATGTTTTAGATAAGAAATTAAAATAATTAGTATTAAGGCAATATTAGAAAATTTTTAAATATTTAAATAATTGGTATGTCAATTGCTTAATACTACCAGACGGGTTTACTGTTTGTTTTCAATTTGATAAGACTTGAGAGAACATTATCAATATTTTATTTATTTTAGATACAAATTTTTGTGTCATTTCAGTCAATTCATCTCACCATAAGTATAACTACGGTGCCTTCATAAATGATTACAAGTCATATAACAAGCAATTTTGTTTGGAACAGTAATTTTATTTCCTTCACGTCGGCAATTAAATTTCAGTAAAATTAAAATAATAATGTCAAGATTTCATTGAAACACAATTTGTTACAACGGTTGGTGATTGGTGCCATTTTTCTAGAGATTTTATTCAACCAATCAGCGATCGCATTATCTCGCTTAGAGATAACAGTTTGTCATTGTTCATTGTAAACGAATCATTAATATAGTTGAAGGTGCTCAGCTCGGCAGTCACGTGGCTTATAATCATTTATATCTCTGTTTAATTTATCGATTTCAATGTATCTGTTTAACGTTGTTTGTTTTTTGCATTTGTTCGTACTGCATTAAAAGGACGCTAATTTACCCTTACTATTATTCAGTATTGCAATGGATTTTCCTTGAGGAGAAACAGAAAAATTATATCATAATCTAGATAGGTAATATAGATCTGGAAAGTTGGTGCGTCAAAAGTGCAGTACTTAAAAAACAGAGCTTACCAGTAATTTTAACCATTCTGTTGCCACCTACACCAACATCTTCGACCAAGTCAGCTGTTACCAAGTTTTCAGGGAGGAAGTGATCCAAAGAAGCGATAGGCTTGCAACCTAGAGATTTGCAGACAAATTCCACATCTTCCCTTTCGATATCCTTGATCACCATGCACTTAATTTTGTCCAAAAAGTGTAAGGCCAAATCTGACACGGCATCTCTTAAAATTGATTTTTGAACCTGTAAAATTGTTGTCCAAGTTTAAACTTGAAAATATTCCAGTAACATAAAAAACATGATAGGATCAATATGCTTCATAATACCAGACATGATGTTTACATACTCTTTTAAAGTACAATTCAACTTGATATATGGAGCAAATGTAATTTCAGCACTCATAAAATAAACGTACTCGCAAAACGTATTTCATAGAAAAAAATCCAGATAAATACAAACAATATTACATGTGAAACGCTGAGAAGTAATAAATAATAAATAATTGTGGCATTTAAAGGTCATACGGGGTGGATGAAAAGTTACCGCAACTTTTTTGGACAATGCTTTGATATTTTCTTTTAAAATTCTGATTTAGATTCACCATGCAATTTTGACCTTATGTACTATTTTAACTGTTTGATTATTTGTAGTTTTTGCACTACAACCATGATGTGTGCATTACTGTAGTTGAATAGCACAAGACGTTAATGAAGACGGCCGACATCGTACAAACGAGTGGTTTCAGGAGTACAACCGTCTATGATGCGTCTATGAAACATTTCAAGGAGGCCGGAGGGACTGCAGCTCGGAATCAGTGCTAAACACAACCAAAACATCGTCAAGAGGAAGTTAGGACTTTGAAGTTGCAAAATTATTTGCCTCCACTACCTCAATGATCCGATAAAGACGAAGCGGCTACAAAAATGCCGCCAAATGCGTTGGCTGGCCGCCGGTGATCACCTGAAAAAGATTCACCGACAAGAAAATTTCGTCGTCACCTCCTTAGTCAAGGCCAGCAGAAGTCCGCAACTACGAAAACCATTCTCCGGCCTCGGTGATGGTCTGGGCTGGTATCTGCACCACCAATGATGTTCATGAAACGCAACACTGAATTCCAGGAACGGGTTCTTCGGCGCACTTTGAATTTGTATGTGATGTAGCACTTTGACGCGAACATGTTCACACTGCATCAGGACTGGGCACGGAGATATTCCGCCCAATCCACCATTACAGTCAGTGAAAAGTCGTTTCTGAGCTTTTGGGGTAAGAACGTTTGGCCGTCGAAACCTTAGGAAGACGATAAGCAAAGGTGAATAGCTAGTGCGACCATTGCTGGTAATTTTCAAAACCAGCTGAGTAATTGTATTGCAGTCAAAAGTAGCAGTTTTGAACATTTTTGTACATTTTTCTGTTTAATATTCTTAATGTTGATCTGATAAAGGTTTTTATGTTTTGGATGTCTTGGTTTGTTTGTTAGTTATAACATTTTGAAATATCTAAAAAATTTGTGAGAAGTTTTCACCCACCCTGTATATCTATACCCACTTTCTTTCCCGATTGCACTTAGTTTGTACCACTCGATCCTGTATCATTTTATAAGTAGGCCAAATTAAATTGATTTAACTGTATTTAAAAACTTACCAGAAGAACGTTACAACCAGCCTTTTTGATCTGTTTCACTATGTTTAAGATATATGCTCTTTCTTCCTTGAGAACTCTATCCATTGCGGCATAATCCGACACAATAACGTTGTGATCCATATCAGTCTTCGGTGGGGAAATACAAAACTGTATAAATCCAATTTTGGCCTTTTCGATTCTCTTTGGGCCAGATACATTCGCAGATCTTTGTGAGAAGACAAGTCCTTCAATCAATTCGGTGTCTTCGACAGTTCCTCCTAATTGTCTAATGACTTTAATGTCGGAAAGGTTGCAAGCCTGCTCGTGACCTAAAATCAAATCAAATTAAGTAATTATTTATTATAACGGAAAAAGCTCAGTTTTTAGTTAAAATAATATTTAGAACTTATTAGAAGAATTCTTTTAAACATTATTTTGCAGAAGTATTAAACATTATTGTCGTTATAAAATTTTTATATCAAACTGAGTACCTGGTTCGACAATTTTAAGAACGGCATCTACTGCCAATGGACCCAACAGGCTAGACTGCTGTGATACTACTTTGGAATTGAGGGAAGTTGAAGCACTTTTAATCAAAAGCTCTCTGTTGGTAATTTCAACGGGTGTGGAAATTTCATTTAGAATCTGAAATATAATTTTAACATGCATTATGGGATACAACTGTGATGAATCCAATAACTTACCTCAACGGCTAAAAGCGCAGCCCTCTGAAATGAATCTGAAATAACTGTCGGATGAATGCCCCTATGTAATAATTTTTCAGCAGCATCAAGTAAAGCCCCTGCGATAACTACAACAGATGTAGTTCCATCACCGGCTTCAACATCTTGTGCTCTAGACAACTCAACCAACTAGAATGTTTTTATTAATTTTTAAATTACTAGATGACAAAAAGCTTACCATTTTCGCTGCAGGGTGAATAACATTTATTTGTTTCAAAATTGTGGCACCATCGTTAGTTATAGTTACCTCACCATTTGCAGCTTGTATCTAAAAATTATTTTTTTAGATTTCACAGTATTTGTTATTAATTCCATTTTCATATAGTATTACATTTAGGTAATACTTGAATATGTGAACTTAAGAAATCAGTGTTATTTGAATTAAGAGATCCTGTTCATTAAATATGGACAGTATATTAAATTGAAATACAAGAGAAATTCTTGTTCATTTTCCTTAAAGGTCATTGCGTATATAATTACCATTTTATCCATTCCTCTTGGACCCAAACTTGTACGAATTGCATCACATACAGCTGAAAATTGAGGTACATTTTTAATACAGATGTAAACAATTATTTAATATAAAATATATTTTAAAACATTCAAAAAATTGAAAATATACTTTTGTTAATAATTTGATATTGCAGGAATGATAACTTTAATAATATTTAATATTGTTTACCTTTTGCGGCGTTAATGTTACTTGTTCTTACATCGCTAGGTTTACTTTTGTCTTTATATGCTACGGATTTTCCTTTATTTGAGTCACCGGCTGCTGTAGGAGAAGTCATAGTTATAGCTATACTTATATATTTTCAAAAAGAGTATTTTAATCAAGCGATGAGAACCGATAAAAAACTTTAAACATCACTTTTCTATCAATAAGATTTTATACAACCACCAACCACGAAACACGAAACACCGATTATATACGAAAATAGATATCACATGACAATCACGCTAGAGGTGTGTTCGGAATGAGCCGTTCGAAAAACTCGATCTCAATTTTGAACACAAAGAACAAAATCTCAGGAAACTGAAGAACTAGTTCATAGGCCCTCGTTCCTGTACGTAATCTATGTTCTGCTTTGTAGATTGAAATGCAACGATCAGTACATTTAGTTGCTCTTACTACTTTGTAGATTATAAAGCTTTAGAAACTGGAGTCAGCCCAGAACGATCCGTGATGCGACGGGACCGCGACCGCCTAATGCGTTCCCTCCTTTACTATTTTTATCTAATCGAACATAGGGTTCAGAGTCCATGATAGGGTTTTCAGGGTTTTATACTACCAAGCTACCAATAGCTGTTAATAGCCAAGGTCGCTAAAGTGAGTATATAACTATAACTAAAACGAAAGCACCAATGTTGAGTGCACTGGAGTACTCCAACCAATACACCCGAATCAGCTCAATAAGCTCATATTTTGATAAAGGAAGGAGGTCAATGGTTGACAATTGACATTTGTTATTTTGACGGTTGACTGTTTTGGAGGTTATGTTAGTTAAACAGAAAATGACGTTTAGACTTTTTTAAATATTTCACAACCAAAAGAAAATGGAAATTCACGTTGAAACAGCTATTAGGGTTTGCCCTGTAGATTATAATGGGGACATGGTTTGTGTTCAAAGTAACCCCATAAATAGTACAATACAACTATCAAATAATCACGTATATCCAGTTAATTACGCATTGCCTGTAAATTGCTGCCAAAACACTTTGTTTTCTACTGTTATTGCGCCTTTAGTAAATTTTTTATTAGAAGGATGTGATGTTTCCATAGTTGCCATGGGACAGTCTGGAACTGGCAAAACTTATACTTTATTTGGCCCTGGATTTCACTTTGCGTCAAGTGAAGCGGAGTATGGAATTATTCCTAGATTTGTTAGAGAAGTTTTCACTAAAGTACGCCAATACCGAGATCGAAATTCTTCCATACATATAACTTGGTCACAGATTTGTGGTGAAAATGTACAAGATTTGTTAGGAGGGGGTAGTATAGAATGTACAGATGTTTTGGATGCTTTTCAACTCATTCAGTTGGGAATGTCTAATGTGTCTCCTAAGAATGCTCACACTTTGTTTACACTTACTTTGGAACAGCAGTGGTCAGTAGACGCCATCATTCAACATAAAGTTTCTACGGCCAGTTTTGCAGACTTGGCAGGAACTGAGAAATTAGTAGTATATGACAACAATGGATTAATGCAGACTATACCAGTGGACATAGGTCTTCAGGCTTTACAAAGATGCATTATGACACTGTCAGAACCTTGTTTAAGTCATTTTAATGTCAATCAGATTCCATACACACAGTCTGTATTGACTACGTTACTGAGAGATTCTTTTGGTGGACGTGCCAAAACTCTTCTAATTGGGTGTGTTTCACCGCTATTAAGTGATTTTACAGAAACACTGTACACCCTTCAATTAGCTATACGTGCACAATTAGTAAAAAATACAGTTACTGTTAACTCGTATTCAACTTACGAAATGTCACAAGAAAATTTTGATGTTTTCGGCCTACAGTTTGCTGCTAATCAATTACTGAAACTAGTTTCAAATGCTGAAGAGCTGTTTCAAAAATTAGTGCTAAATGGTTGCTTGAATAAGACTGAAATGGAACAAATATCTCATTGGCTAACTCTGAAGCAAGAGTGTGAAGAGTGTCTTAGTGAAAACTCGGAGCCACATCGATCTTTAGAACGCATTGAAGAAGAAATCGAAGATACCACAGAAAGTATAAGTGATAGCGAAGAAGGAATAATTGAAGAAGAGGAATCTCAAAGTTTAATTGAGAAGATAGATATTCTCATAGAATCTTTTAAAAAAAGCACAGATCTGTTGGTTGCTGATGCTAATGCTGTTCTTAGCAACACAAATTTATTTACAAAAGATAGCTTAACAAGTTCTAGCAATACATATCGTTCTAAGGGGGCTAGAGGAAGAAGAGGAAGCATACATTCTGTGGATGAAATGCCTCTATCTGTTAACTCTATAAAATTTAGCGAGGAAGATGTGATTCCCGAAAATGAACAGAACAATACTGATGTTCCGCTAACTTATGAAATGAAGAAAAAAGTTCTTAAGCAAATAACTTCAGCTATTAAGGGATGTCAAAAACAAATTACCGACTTAGAACAGACAATCAAAGTAAAAGAAAACCTAATGCAGCAATTTTTAAAACATAAACATACTCAGTCCAGTGCTCATGTGAAGATTGAACAAAAGTGCCAAAGGCTTAAGAAAGAATATGAAAATACTCAAGGTAAAGTAATGCAAGCTCAGGCGCAGAAGAATCACTACCTAGAAGATAAGTATAACACTGAATTAGAAGAAGTAGAGGCTAAATTGAAAGATGCAGAGTCCTTAAAAAATATCACCGAGGATGGGGATAGAAAATTAAAAGAATTGGAAAGTAGTTTACGTACATCACAAAAACAATTGGAGAAATTGAGAAGATATAAGAAAAAAGAGGAGAAGAGAAAACAGAATTATGATGAACAGATTAAAGAAGAAACAAACAAAATAGATGAGTCCAAAGATAGTAGTAACAGTACAGATAAAAATAAGAGTAAGGATGATTTAAAAGCCATTGCTTTAATAACTCGTGGAAGTAATTCTAGTTTACAAGACATCAATAAAGACTTGGCACTGTCTAATGAAGATTTAGAGTGCCTTAGACACGAGATTCGTAACTTACGCAAAACTCGTGACTATCTCCTTGAACAGAAATTTAAAATTGATACCAAATCTCAGAATAAGAAGATTTTAAATGAGATTGAGGAAAGGAAACTTTTGCAGTACGAGGAAGCTATTGAGGCCATTGACTTGGCTATTGAATACAAAAATGAAATCCTTTGTGGACACAGACCAGTAAGCGAAAAGGCAATGGAAAGGGTAGAAGAACAAGGTGATAAAATGTTAATGGATAGACTAATGAAACTTAATGAGAACGAAATGAGAGTATTACTGCATAAATATTTTCAAAAGGTTTGTTTTTTTTTATTTTTTTTTACTCGATATTAATCACGTGAACTTTAAAAATTACTAGCCTATGACAAAAATGTGTTTCTAATTTAACTGGATAATTTACGATTTCACCATCAGCAAAGCCTAATACAGACGAACATAAATAAGTTTCTGACTCGGGCAGAGCCGCGCGAGATTGAGAAGGAATGCATTTGGCTAGAAAAAATAAAAGGTTGTAATAGTGGCTTGTGGAGCCTATCACTTGCCGTGTCAAGTGCGCATTTGCAGGCAGAGCTATCTCAGATGCAAACTTATTTGTGTCGGTCTGTACTATATGTGGCATAGATTGTTTTATACTGATTTCTAAAAAAATGTTCCAGTACTTCGCCATCAGAAACCACTGTGTCAGCAACCAAAACTCCAATATCAAACCAAAAGTCGTGCGAAATTTGAATTAAAATGTTAAAGCTATATTTATTTACAAAAAGTATTACCATCCTTTATTGCCAAGGGATACCACCCCTTCTATTACTGTTAAACCAATTATATCTTTTATCCTTAAAGCCACGACTGATTTTAACTAAATTGTTAACATTATATTTGTATTGATTTATACTAATTGAATCGGTCATTTGAGAAACCCCACGTCAGTGAAACCACATTTTGAAAAAATCAATAAAAACGTATTTTGTTTTGGTATATCGGAAAATCAAAATTCTTCTCGTAGTTATTTATTTATCTGACATATATTTTAGCACACTAAGATAGATAAAATAGTGAGTTTTATAAAAAAATGTACATTAAATTTTGTGACTTGTGAGGTTTCTTTATGAAATACTACTTCAAAAATACAAAATGTTTTTATAATATATTCATTTCTTGCAGATAAGAGATAACAAAAGGCAACTACCAGTATTTTAAAGGCCTTCCTTCGCATTTGTGGTTGGCCATTTCATAATAGTTATGTAAAAACTCCTAATATATTCATTGTCTGGTAAATTTTAATTTTTTTTAGATTTTCCATTTTTTTCACATTAATAGGATCACGCTTTTCAGGATAGGTACAGTCATTTGGCAAATTTTTAACTCCATCAGTAGCAGATATTTTAAATTCAATTTACAAGTCCATCGATGATTTTGCAACAAATTCAGCGACATCTTCATCAGACATGGAATGGAAATGGGTTAATTCATAGACAAAGGGAGGGTTAGTTCATTGAGAAACCTCACATGTCTCAGACATGTGAGTTTTCTCAAGTAAACGCTAAAAAGTGACGTTTTCGTAATTAACTCCGATTGTGTAAAATGTGGGGTTTCTCAAATGACCAATTCGATTATATTACTGCCTGCTGTTGCGTTGCTTAAGCTTGATACTAGATATAAAATATAACAGTTTTAAAGGTCGACTTTAGTTGGTAAAACCATTTCAAGTACAATTATATATTACGAGTTTACATTTTTGTTCAAATGAACGTTCGGAACTTCCAATACATAGGAATTTTCCTTCCAATATGTGTTTTATATATATTTTTTTGATGGACTACTGCCTCAGTTATAATACATTTTTGTTTTATTTGTAATAAAATATACAGTGTATTCCTATTTATAGGTGTACACATTATTAGCACAATAAAAATAAAAACAAATGAGGCTCAAATATGAGGGGGCACCACAGGAGCAATTTAATGTACAAGCTTGAGTAATATTAGGTAATAATCCCATGCCTGATAATTTACCACATACGACATTATTCTACACACCTCAAAATGCCTCTGTACAAAAAAAAATTATTAAAAATGTACCAATTTTATATTTATTTCAATTCTTAAAAACTATATATCTGCAGAAAAACTAAAGTTTATAAATAATACAATACTTGTATAATTTATTATATCATATTTTAGTAAATAGTCCATCTCGGACATGTCAAATATGAAATCTGGAATCCGGCATCTAGTGCTAAAATAATGCAGTGTTTTTTGTAGGTGGTTGATTTACGCAGCAGCACAAAAAAGTTAGAGATGCAGGTGGTGGAATATGAAAATCAGAATGAAAGTTTATTGTGCCGTATGCAGAACTTAAGCCATACCCTGCAACAAGTGCGGCTGGAAGGTGAGAGGAGGATAATTTCACTTCAACAGCAACACGAGGATAAAATCCACCTGGTACTGCGTCATTTAGCAAATGACGGTAATGGCGATGGTGATCAGGTCATTTCCAGAGTCCTCGGCAATAAGGTATTGCCTCGGCCAGTTGGTGGCGCAAGTAAACAAGTTGGAAAAAGCAGTAGCTTGATAACGAGGATAACCAGCATCGCTAGACACGAGATTGTGCCACGACAGCTACAATCTGTTATACCTGCTCCTCAAGCGAAGATAACGAGGCAGAAAAATAAATTGTTTATTCAGCAGACCAATAAGTGAACGACATTTTGGAATATTACATAGAGCCAATGACCAAATGAATATCAGTATTGCAGATGATCTATGACTTATCGATATACGAATGAAGGTAAGGTTTAATGTAAATAATTTGAAATATTTATTGTTATTAAGAAGGATTTTGAAAAATTGTATTCATTGCTGATAATTAAAGTACATAAAAAATCTCAAATTTTAAAGAGTAACTGGTAGGTGATTTTAGAGACTTATAAAGTTTTTTGAATGAATTCTCTGGATTCATTCGAATTGATCTCAATTTAGATGAAATAATATGTGTAGAGATCAGTAAATGTTTTGTGTATTTACAAAAATATGAATTTGTGCGCCTACTCCTAAAGTATAAGTAGGCTGTGGAATATTTCGTTGGAAATGATATTTTAGTGACTGATAGATTTTTTTAATGTAGTTATATGTTAGGAATGTTGAACTGAATGTATTATTATAATTATACATATGATTGATTGCCCTGAAAAGTGACGTATTATTTTTTAACAAAAATTTGGTAAATGTGAAATCAATCCCAAAAATATCTTTCTTAGGGGGACAGTTTTAACTTGCTAATAAATTATCAGATTAAATATGGTAGTATGGAAAAATGGCACTTCACAAGGTGTCTCCAAGTTATGAAACACAATTTGCTATTCTGATTATTAAAATCATGGGGATGTCCTGCCAAAATAAAGTAACGTAGTTCAGATTCAGAAATCAGATAGGTATCAATTTCCAGTGATATGCACAATTAAACTTTGGATTTTTCTCTTCTCGGAAGAAAAATGGACAATTGTAGTTTAGGTTCGATTTAATCTAAAGCTCAATTTGGCTGAACGTTACATTTGTAACTTTATATTTTCTTATATGTAATCTTAATTTATCAATTTGCTCTGCAAAATGGTCCATTACAAAATAATTTCAGATTTAAAGTAACGAAATTGTATAAGGAATTGTCACAATTTGCTCCTATATTTCTGTTACCATTTTAAATATTACAATAAATCAACCGATTTATTGGTACAACGTAAAACTACCAATACTTACAAGATTTGTATCAAGCTAGTTATTTACGATTAATTTTTTAATTATTTCAAATATAAATCTACAATATAAACAGAACTGTCTAAATGTGTTGATAAACAAAATTTTACCCGAATTAAAATTAAAAGCCCCTAAAAAAGCTCAATATAAAGTTGCCAATTTCTTGATAAATTTATTAGGTAAAAAAATGGCAAATGTAAATTAGGTTTTAGGGTTTGCACAGAAAAGCATAGATATCTGAAACTATAATTATGTAATCTCATAAAAATTGTGTGGGTGTGACATAAAATAAATTTATTAGACAGTTGTAAAAATTTAACTGGATGTTTTACCGCACACAAAGAAAACCTAATTTTCAACTGGAAATACTTTACTGTGTGAAATATTGTTCCATGTTAAAACAATAACAAAACCTGAAAGAAACAATGTGAGTCATCAGTTATGATGACTCTAACGGCAGCCCGTGTAGGTACCAGGTGTACAAGTATGAAATGCGGGTTTCAGACAACAGATGGCGCACCAATGCAGTTTGTGCTATAAAGATGCATGAGTGATGTGTCGTTGTGTTCAGTATGTCAATATTTATACCGAACAAAGAGCATTCGCGGACAGCGTTAATTTTTTGTTTTCATTCGAAGAAAACTGCTGCTGAATCATACCGATTACTTCAAGAAGCTTATGGTGAACATGGTCCATCTCAAGATACGTTTGAACGATGTTTTCGGCATTTCAAAAGTGGTGACTTTAATGTTGCAGACAAGGAACGTGGTAAACCGCCAAAAATATACGAAGATGTAGAATTGCAAGCATTGTTGGACGAAGATGATTCGCAAACACAAAAACAACTCGTCGAGCAATTAGGCGTTAGTCAACAAGCTGATGCCAATCGGCTACAAGAGATGGGAAAAATTCAGAAGACCGGTAGATGGGTACCACATGAGTTTAATATCGAAAGAGGCAACACAAAGTCATTTTTCTTCATGACAATGCTCTATCACATATGGCAAAACCGGTTCGTGACACATTGGAAGCACTCAGCTGGGAAGTTTTACCCCATGCGGCATACTCACCAGACTTGGCTCCTTCCGATTACCACTTGTTTGCATTGATGGGTCACGTACTTGCTGAGCACCGCTTTGGTTGGTACGAAGATGTGAAAAAATGGCTTGATGAATGGTTTCCAGCAAAAGAAAAAGATTTTTACTGGTGTGGTATTCACAAATTGCCCGAAAGATGAAAAAATGTATAACAAGCGATGGAGCATACTTTGAATAAAGCACTTTTTATCATTCTTCTGAATTTAACATGTTTTTTTTAGACAAAAATCTACATTTCATACTTGTACACCTGGTAAAGTAGGTAAACAAACACCGGAAACGAGATAGTTGGATTAAGCGGGGAATCGGACCCTGCGAGGTCGGATTAGCAAGGTTCTACTGTATAATATGCGTTAATTTATATTGACGAACTATTAAGTGTGTAATAAATATCATATAATACTCCTGTAATGATAAATTCATTAATTAAAAGTGAAGTTAAGGCTACTGTAATAGATCCATTTTTCGCTATACACGCTGTTACAAATTTGCTTCTCACTACAGGGATCTCGGAAATGGAAAGAGGTACGAAGTAGCTTAAATGGGGGCAAAGTTGCGTAATCAGGGAACCAACATTATGCCTCTAAAAAATCAAGGCTAACACGATTAGTTTTCGAAATATTTGAAATAAAACTAAATTTTGGAAAACCGTTTTTGTTTAATTTCAGCCTCGTTTGAGGTGATATTGAAAAAAGAAGAACACTTTCTCATGACCAATTTTTGCCCTCTATCGAATGGCATAATCAATTTTTGTATGTAACGTTTCATCTCTCTATGACCATCATGAACTTCATTTTTTAAAATAGGACCATAGAAATTTTATTACAATTTTTGCAAGCCCTCATGACCCCCAATACTGGACTGCCTCAGCCCGAACCAGATTCAGACGTTTTGTCTCCAAAAATTCATCTTCAGTGTATTCATTCCAAATTTATCTAAATTTTTTATTTAAATTTATTGAATTATCGTCACTGTAAGCGTCGTTAGACCCTGTGAAATCCATCTAGTTATTTAAACTATTACCACCACACATTAAAATAAAATATTTATTATTATTAACTATTACTATCAACTTGGTCATAACTCAATAAGTTATATATATGTATTATGACATTAATTCTTAAAAATACATATGAACAATCAAAACGCCAGCTGAACATTATTCTTTAAAAAATTTCAGTAAATGTTCAAAAACATTTTCGTTTTGGCAAAGATTGAAAGCGTAATCAACGTAATATTATTGGAATTTATTGTATCTGTAACCACAACTGTGAAAGAGCATGTCAAATGTATTTGTATGAATATCCTGAAAAAAATAGATCGGAATTTGTTTGAATTTGGAGCACTCGAGAAGCCTAGAAATAACTATGGTTTCCGAGATCCCTGTAGTGAGAAGCGAATTTGTAACAGCCTGTATACTTGCACAAATTAGCTTACCTATCGTGAGAACAAACTAGAGATGGGAAAATTCCCAAACTATGAAAATTCCTGGAAAGTTTCCATTGAAAATTCTGGAAATTTTCAGAAAATTTCAAAAATTTTTTTTGGATTTGGTATTGTGTTCTACATACCATCAGCTTTCCAAAAAGACCAAATACTTGTTGTATACATTGTTATTTATATTGGTATAAATATTGGAAAAATATAAATTATGTATTAATCATCCGTTAGAAAAAATTACATGCTGAGGGTTACAGTGCGTAAACACTATACAGTATACAATATTTATCTTTATTTTTTAACAAACAAATAGTAAATACATTAAATAATTATACTAGTTTTAAAATGTAATTGTACTTTGGTTTAACTATCAAAATTCATATTAAATTTGAAAAGGAGGCAATTTATGAGTTGTATTGCTCTCTATTATGTAGATTGTAGACTTAACAAAATTTAAAAAAAGTAAGTGTAAGTGTTTTCTAACTTATTTGGATAATATGGTTTTCTGGTATTCCGAATTAACCGAAAATCCGAAATTAACTAACGATTTTTTGTGTATGTTTATAGAAGTTAGAAGTAAAATTGGCCCCAAGTTTACAAATTGTTAGAAATATTCCCGGAAAATTTCCAACGGAAATTTTTTCAGAAACTTTCCAGGTAAAATTTCTCAAGCTTCGATTATTTCTTCCTGGAAAATTTCCGTTTTGGAAACTTTCGGGGACGGAAAATTTCCCATTGCCCATCTCTAGAACAAACATTACATCTCAAATATACAATAATCATATCAGTTACTTATTGTAACTGAAACTGTTCAATTACTAATAATAATAAACCTTTCAAAATGTTCTTCAACTCCAAACGTTTTGTTTTACTATCGATTGTGGGTTCTATTACAATTTATAAACACAGCTGACTGTCAGACATATTTTAACCATATAATATTCACACGCAGGAGACATACTTATGAACATTTAATTGAATTTATATTAAGTTTATAATTAAATAACAAAGCTCATTCATATGATGTGATTCTTGCAGCAGCAAAGTTGTAGTGTAAACCACTGGTGGCGCAACATATTATACACAAGGTGGACAATATGTATCGATTTTGTTGAATTGATGCATATCCACCCTATACGATGTGTGTTCTGCATACACTTGCGTGTTCTATTATGATTTTCCTAGCTTTAATTTACTACTTTATGTTTTTGTAATGTACCTATGTTTGTCCGTGGTCTTCACTCCACTGTTTTGGTTTTGGTTTTGAACTAATGTAAAAACTTGTTTCTTGCATTTAAAAAGTTCTGGAAATTCTTGAAGTTATAATATCTCAGTTATTCAAATTATAACATTAATTGACCTACATACTTTGAGCTGCCACGCACATATTTTATACATTTATAGCGCAAACTAGGTGGCCATCAGGTCGCCTAGTA